TTCTACAATGACCCACTTCCTGAATTTAGAGCCCAGAGTATGAGCATCTTCACCATCGGCTACTCAGGGGCTGACTTGGGGAGCTGTGTCTCAGGAAGAAGAACTAAGGGTGGCAAACCCACATCCAGGCCCTGGGCCGCAAGCAAGCAAGGACTCAGGCCCTGTTGTGTGGACCATTGGTTTCCCTACCCAGAATCCACTTCCTCTTCCTCTCCCAGAGAAATGACTCTCCTCCACTCCAGGTGCCTGTGGTCTGAGTACTCATGCCCCTCAAGCTTTAACACGGGCGAGAAGCCCAGGCTGAAGCCAACGAGCCCGAGCAGCTGGCCACAGTGACTTTGGCTGGATCCGTTGGAAGCAAAGAGGCATGTACTTCTGCTGCCAGGGTTAGTCAGAAGATGGCCCCTGTGGCTGCAGGCAGCCACTTTTCTGTGTCTAGAGGAAACCTGCCCAGAAATGGAGCCAAAAGAAAGCAGAGTAAGAGATGCTCCAGACAGGATTTGGATCACATCACTTGTATCCCTGACACAAGTACTAAATCCTCAACTTTTCAGTTATGTGAGTCAAGAAATTTCTATTTTGCTCAAGATAGTTCAAGTCAAGTTTCTGTGATTTGCAATTAAGAGTCCTGACAGATATGCCCAGAAAGATTATGACATTTCTTGCATCTTGGGGAGTTCATATTGTTTTAGTTTAGATTAGAAAGTAGAATCAGGAATGTTTGTATAGAGCTAGTTCACCCTCCTACTATACAGAGGAATGTCCTGAATTGATAAGCACCCCATTCTGATTTTTGCCACATTAGTAGTTAATACTGATGTAGAGGATAATTTACTTTGTGAAAGTCTGCTCAGCTTCTTTGATTTATTTAATCATTAGAAAGGTTTTCTTATGTTGGACCCAAATCTACACCTGTGAAATTGCTATTGGTGGTTTATTTCTGGGGTCAGTGCAGACAGAGGCTGCGGCCCAGACTGGCTTCCCTCCTCAGTTCCACATTCCTGCCCCTTTCTCTGACTGAGCAGGACCCCTTACTTCTGCAATTGAGGTTTCCATCTGAAAATCATCAATTATTCAGGCTTGACTCCATCACTGAACTCCTTTGTCATTTTGTGCTTGCCTCTGAATTTAATATTTAGTAATGCTCACTAATGTTTAATGTTTCTTGTCTTTCTGTCCCTTTTCCTACTGTACCCACCATTATGCCCTTAAGTCTAGTGTATTATATAATCTAGCATTATCATTATCAATAATCTAGCATATTTTTTTCTGTCCTGTGACTCCCCTCTCATTTGACTGCTGCCAGAATAATCTTGCCCAAGCCATACATTAGCCTACTATTGCTTATCAGATTAACTGAGTTTCAAAGCCCTCTATAGTTGTCCTCCCCCTCTCCCCAATTCTTCCTCCTTCCCAACATGCCCCAGTCCTTCTCAATCCAAGAAGAGTCCTCTGTCCATCCTGGCTCACCACTGTTGGGTAGTCTTGCCCTACAACCTTTACAGTCCCCATTCCTCCTTTTCTTCATTGATTAGTCTGGTCTTTCAAACCTAACTCAAATCCATCTTTTCTCATCAGTTTAGAATGACCCCTAATGTACCCACTGCACATACTACTTGGATGGCACTTATTTACACAATACTTTCTATTATAACTTAGACTGTTAACTCAGAGTCTTTTCAAATAGATTGCAGGTGACATGGGGGCAAGCACAGCATTCTCATACTTTTTTGTGTGACCAAGGAGTCCAGGACTACAGATGCTGGCTGATGTACCCTGGACAGATTATATTTTTTCCCAAATGAAGGAACCTACAAAAAAAGGGGAAGCATACAGGCACCCCTGCTCAAATGCACAACTATGCCTAAAACCAAGTATTTGGTGAAATCAAAAAATTAAAATAACCATGGAGAGATTTTTAGGTACTTATTAGATATTTAATTATTTATAATTAAATATTGAAATAATTCAACACTGTTTATTATATATTTAGTTATTTATTATCATCGAAAGGGAGTTGTTCACAGACTCCAAGTCTTCATGGTTTTTTAAATTGATTTTTCTTTACCATTGCTGAAAATTTCTAGTTTAAGCTAAAAAATAACATAGAAATTTAAACTGTTCAGACTTGGTGGTAAAGAGGGTGGGGGCTGGGTTTTAGGAAGTTAGTTATTGCCAAACAACTTGGAGGAAGAATGTCTGACTGTAACTGAACTGGTTGATATTTTCCCGTGTTTTGGTTCTAACTAAGGTCAGATTCTTCCCCACCTGAGGGCACAAAGGCAGCTTTAGATGGAAGGTCCTGAGAGTCACACCTGGAGAAGATGAGATGGGAGTCCAGTGCAAACCAATAGCATGTGGAAAGTAGAATGAATGTTATCCTGCTTGAATTTCAGGATAACATTTCAGGAGCAAAAGATTTCCACTGTTTTATTGGGACTGACCTCACGTCAGGACATCAAGTCATTACTGAATTCAGAGTAGGGAGAGAAAATCATGTTCACCCTGGGCATCAGTTGTGAATGGTTGGAGGGGCGAGGTTAAGAAGGCTCCCCTAAGAGTGTCCTGAATGATTAGCTATAACTGCCACAGACAAGAGAGAGGATGGTACCTGCCTGCCATGTATTTACCAATGTTAATTCAGTCATGAATATGGCTCTCCTTAACTCAGTCTATCTGTAACCTACCCACCCTCCAAGGCCACAACCATGCACCCCTCCACCTTGAGGCTTGCCCCGCCAGCCCACAGGGTCCTTGCTCACTTCTTAATTTTGTGGTTATGTCTGTACCACTTATTAACACTTCACTTATTTTGATTGTTATCTGCTTTTTATTACTGTATATGTCTGGAGCAACAAGGATCCCATTAATACGGGACTGAACCTCTGCTGTGGTTAAGCTAGTGGGCACAATGTTGTACCCATTGTGACTTCATGAAATGGAGTTAGAAATTACAGGGAAGAGTTACAAAATAAGCAGTGTCTGGAATATCAGCAAAATACAGGACAATGCATTTATTTTCCTACCCTCCCTTGACTATTCCTGTGCATCCCCTGGGGTGGGTTTGCAGCCTGCAAAAGAGGTGGGACAGGACAAGGACAGGCTAGGCTTTGTCCTGGAACACTCAGGTCTGCTCTGGGATGGAGAATGCTACTTAGGTTTTCAGAGCCAGGAGCTTCTCAAGGAAGAAAATGCTAAATTTGTGTTAGCTTTGGATAAAAGGGTATGTATCACCTGGAAACTGTGTGGGTGGAAAAGAGCATTTCAGTGTTAAGTATGATGGCAGGTTTCTGTGCTTCTTTCTCGTAACAAAACTACAATTTTGTCCAGATGTCAGAGAGCCTCTGGGGAGCCTGGGCTCACTTCCAGGGCCATGGTTATTCTTTATTAGTAGGAGAGCTAGTCATAGTAATTCTCTTCTTGGCTGTGATTGGTTTAGGTGTGAAAATACAGTGCAGCTCTGGCCAATAAGCTGCAAGGGAAAGTCAGGTGGGAAACTTCTGACAAGGTTTTATTCATTCCTGAAAAAGGCCATATTGTTTCTTCTTTGGATGTTGTTGTATGAGGATTATGATGCTTGAAGCCACTTGCAGCTATACTGTAATCATAAGGGGATATATCTGAGGTTATTCTGAGGAAGGGAAGTAAAAAAAATGGGAAAAACCTGGGTCCTTGATAACTTTGTCAAGCCCTCAACTAATTCTGGAGATTTCTCACCTTTCATCAACATTTCATCAACTTTGAGACATGTAATATCTTTGTAACTTTTCTGAGATTAGGATGCTTTTTTTTATGGTATGTCATAGTTAAATTTGTAGCATTTCTTTTCTTAGTGGAACTTATAATAATTGTGTGTTTTACAAAAGACTGCATCTGTGATTTGATGAAATGTGGAATGTCCTTATTATCCATTTTTTAGAAGGTTTTCTTTACTTTCCTCTGAAAGTATCCTCACCGATATGGCTGTGATCCTCCCAGGAAGGAGCAGTGTGGGGACGGCATTTGGAAGAGAAGGTAACACAGCTGTGAGCAGCCCTGCATGAGGATGTCCCTGGCTCTGGGTGGGGCCTGGACTCTGGATTCCTTCCCAGGAAAGAGGCTCTGCTCTTCTTGGGATTTGAAGCAACTAACCTGCATAAGATCCTATTTCTCCCTGAGCACAGAGGGCCGCAAGCAACTGAGGAGCACTCTGTGACTGGGACGGATCTTAAAGCTGCCAGCCACATAGGGCTATTGCCTGTAGTGACAGTGGTCTTGGGCTTTTCAAAATCTGAAGTCTAGGAGCACTTAGCTGGAGAATGAGAAAGGGCTGCAGAAGAAGTAGGTGAGAGGAACTAAATCCTGGGGAAGAAGGCTCGGCCCCAGCTGACTGCATTGTCTCAGAACTGGAGGCTACACCCTGCCCCACATTCATGCCTCTCCTACAGCTGGGGAGGCAGTCACCCATCCCCATGGAGGCCTCGTCCCCAGGGCAGCCCTGCCCTCTGCCATCCCTACTGCAGGGGGGGACTAAGATTGGTACTAAGGGGGGACCAAACCTTGACATGTCTCTTCATTTAGAATTAGGTTTCTCTTGCAGAAAATTTAAACACAACCTCACAAAATAAAAGCCTGACTTGGCAGGAGCCTCTCTGACCCCAGATGGGCGGGTGAGTCACTGACGTGTGGTATATGGACTTTGTGGTATTCATGAGGGGCAAAAGGGAGTTCTCAATGCTTTGAAAATGGACTGTGGCTGAAAGAAGTACAATGGGTCCATCTTTCCACACTGATCTTCCATGATTTCAGAGAGCCGAGGGATGACCATGTGAGGGGCAGGCAGGTGGGGGCGGCAGGGCTCTCTCCCACCTCGACCTCATACTTCCCCACCCCCAGGGCCAGGTGTAGTTCACAGGGGCCAGGTTTTGCCTTCTTTCTTTCCCTCTGTCCCTTCCCCTCCCTCAGAAGTCCAGGTATAGGTTCTACAGTAGTTAAAGCTTAGGGAAGCTGAGGTCACTCACCTATATAAAAATACTCTGGGGACTTGTCCTCGGATGAAAGGTCCTTCATGGTGCCTCCAAACCGAAACCATAGTCCAAAAGCGATGACAGCTGACCCTGCCAGCTGAAAGGCAAACAACACTGCTTTTATAACGGATGGAAGGGGGAAGTGTGTGCACAACTCAGGAGCAGGCTGTGGGCACAGAATGCAGGCCGGAAGGGGGCAGCCCTTTAGAGCTCGCCGACTCTCCATTTCATACGGGTAGTGAAATGGTGTGTTCAAAGCCTGCCTGTCCTTGGCAGATGTTAGAACTGGGGCTTCCTGATTCGAACATGAAGTTTTTCCCATTCTGCCCAGCTACCCTGCAGTTATGGGGCACATGTGAAATGTGTCAGTGGAAGGCATCTGCCCCCTGCCTTCTTGCCCCTTGCTTGGACCTCTTCACCAACATGACAGTGGGAGGGGACTGACTGCTGCTGGGTCACCAAGTGCAAGATGAACTCCAAGACCCGGGAGGAAACTTACCTTTCTGAATTGGAAGAAAACAGAACCTTCCCACCCTCATGAGTGAACAGTACCCAGCTGGAAAGCTGTTTTGGAGGCATCTAGAACTCTTTATCCTCCAAGCCACTACAGTCACAGCACTGCCTGGGGATGGCTTTGCAGGCAGAGAGAGGGAGCTCGGCCACTTTTTTTTTTTTTTGGTTGCTATTTTGAGTTTCCATGGAAAGTGTGAAAGGAAAAAATAATTTTCTGAAAAAGCATGGTCTGTGTGCCGTGCGGCTTGTGGAGAGGCTGACTGACTGGCACAGGCAGGTGGGGCAGGCTGGCGGCTGGTAGAGTCATCGCCAGCTTCCTCTCGGCCGCTCTGAGAGCTTCTGTGAGGCTCCAAAGCTGGAAGCCTTTCTGCCATTGAAGGACTGTCATGACCACCTGCCAGCAGGCTCCAGCCCTGGAATCCTCTCTACAAACACCCTTCTCGAATTTCACTGTATCAGTCAATCAACAGATGTTCACTGGACACCTTCTGAGCCGAAGGCGCTGTGGGAAAGTATGCAGAGAGGTGCAAACAGCCTCCCGGTCGGCCAACCCGCCCAGTTAGTGTTGGGATGCCCTCGCCTCTCATCAGATGAGCAGTTCAGAGGCTGCCCCTGACCCCAGTGGGGAAGAGCAGACATAGATACTGGCAACAGGAGCACAGAGGCTGCAGCCAGAGACGGAGAGGTTTAATAAGGAAAAATGGTTTCAAAGTCATGGTCAGACCAGAGCCCTTTGTATACAGGATCCTTCATCTGTGGGGCTATTGGTAAAGAACCTGGTGCTACCCCTTGGGACTACCTGGCTGGGTCTATGTGAGCACTTTGTCTTTCACTCTCTATGCCTTTGGCCAGCTTCTTCAGAGGAGCAGCATGACTTCAACGAGGAGGAGTTAGAGGAACAGAGTTCTACCAGCTGGACCCTCTAATGTGGAAAACTTCAACGTTTCCAGTACTCAGAGGAAAGCACTAATTGGATAATGTGAGGGACAGTTAAAGGAATTGGGCTCAGTCAGCCTTAAAACGTTTTTCCATTTTTCAAAAGGCTTACACAGCATGAAGAAATATTGACAGAAGTCATGCTAACACATTAGCAATATTTATCTTTGAAGGGTTGGGATTAGTGACTTTTTCTTTTCACTATATGTTCTAAGTTTTCTGCATTAAGCACATATTATTCTTGAAAGTTTAAAAACGTATTTTTTTTAAAGCATTATGTAGTAGTTTATCTGAAAAAGCAGGGACGATTTTCTTGCACCATCGTTTGATCTGGGAGGAAACTGGCTTCGAGGTCATTGCTGTTTCTGATGAAGGAAAGAGGGTGCTGCCCTTAGGAAAGCGTGATCCTAGAAGCGCCCCAGAGCTGCCTCGGACAGAGGTGCCTAGCAAAGCCTCCCGGGCAACCCTGCCCACGCTGCCTCTGTGGCAACCAGATGGAAAGACAGTTTCCAAATACAAAGCAATATCTACTGACAGAGGCGTAAGGCCAAGGCCTGCAGCCACCGAGCCGACTGTGGAGGAGGTGACTAGTGTCAGGGACACCCTACCATGCAGCCACATTTTTGGCATGTCTGTGCACAAACTCTAATTTATAGCTGTCTGGCTGGGATCATCCTCCCAGACGGAATACATTTGTCCACTACTGGCACAGATGTGTTTGATGCATAATGGAAAATTAAAAGAGAGGTTGCAATTTAAAGCCCTGGAGGCAATGAGAAAAAAAATCCAAGCTTGCTCATCCATGCCCCCCAAACCCAAACCACACGGGTTTCCTCCTGGGTCAAGGAAACTGTGGCTTAGCTGAATGGCATCACTGTGTGGAGGGAATCCTCCCAGCATACAGCCACTCGCTGTGCTGGGAATACTGTGGGTGAGGACCTCATCAGGCCTGGGGTGGCTTGTGACGAGTGATCACCACTTTGGAAAGTGGCATCAACGGAGACCACATAGCCTTTTGGTCCTTTTAACTCAATTCCTGTAAGGCTCTTGAAATACCCTGTGTTCACCCTTTGATCTACCGCACACTAGAAATTGCTTGGAAAAAAGTTCATACCAATTTCAGTCCAGTCAGGAACAAAGTGGGCAAATCTAGTGCTATTAAATCCCACCTCTCTTTACTGTTCCCTACTGGGAAGAGACATGAATAAACTGGGGGAGGGCCTTCAGGCCCCTCTAATCCTAAATTTTAACCCTTCCAGACCAAAACAGCCCCAGGGTCCCATTCTTCCACCTCCTGTTAATCTCAGCTACTCTTTTGCATTCAGACAAACACTGCACCTCAGCCCAAGTCAGAATAAGGATCAAGATGCTGCCTTTTTTGTCCCTTTCCTTCTCTTGTGCCCACACTCTTTTTCCCTTCCTCCCTGGCTTTCAGGGAATTGACGGTGGTCCCAGTCCATGTGCCACACTTTAGGGAAACAAGGATGAAAAAGACACAACTCCCAGTCTAACATGGAAAATGACGTGTAAACCAACAGACGCAGTATAATGCAGGAAGTGTGCTCAGCCAAGGAACATCACAAAGCCTAGGGATCAGGGCAAAGTGTGACAGCTGGGGTTCAGCTGATGATATCCTGTTGTGATTTACATCTCGAAGAATGACTGACAAGTCAAGAGCAGGGAAGGGCTGGAGGGAGGGGCAAAAGCCAGGCAGAGGGGACAGTGTGGAACAGGCTTTGCTTCCTTACCTGGAACGCTGTGTTGGGGAGAGGAGGGTCTGAAGGCTGTTTGAGTCTGGGACTTGAAAGGCAAGCTGGGGCAGACGGTGGCTCACAGCTTCTACTTATCTTGCTACCACGCAGGGCCCACAGGGAAGGGGAGATGGGAGCTATTCATTCTGAAGGGAACAATCAGGAACTTCAATGCTGCCTGATGCCAGCCAGTGAGGAGCCTGAGATAAAGAGTCGAGCAGCTGAAGGCCAGATCAGGGACCCTAGGGCGTGGAGGTGGTGAACAGTGAGGACCACACCACCAACTAAGAGCTCTGCACATGGCTCCCCTGGTCCCAGGAGTAGTACCAATCCCCATGCCTTTGGAATAATTATCATTAGAAGTATCATTGTTTTTCCAGGAATGGGCTTTTTCATACAACAGCATGAATTGGGCCTTGATGTTAATAATTTAATAAACATTTACTGAGCATCTATTGTGAGCCAGGAGCCAAGGATTCACAGAAAAGGAAGATCCAGTTCCTCCTTGAGTATCTCAAGGGCTCATGGAGAAGCTGAGTCCCCCCTGGGTGGTTCAGGAGGAACACTAACCCTGCATGCAAGAATTCAATCACAGAACCAGCCTACCAGGAGATGCCAGATATCATTCTTTGTTTGCCATTTATTTTCTGAGTACCAATTATGCATTAGGCACTCAGGGAATGTGATAAAACAGGACTTTGAGGGCAATAGTATGCCCACTATTTAAAAAGAAGAGAGAAGCAAAATAGGAAAAAAAAGATAGCAGTGAAAGGAACAGACTATAAATATATTTAATGACATATAAATCCATGTCATTAAATAAGGGATCACCAGATACAATTATATTATGCATTTTCATGGGCAAGTCATTTCAGGACTTAATCATATTCCAGAGAGTTTTCAGGACACAAAGTTGCAAATGGTAAGCCTGTCTTTAGAGAATGTCTTTAATTTGTGTTTCAAAACTGAAGTAGCAGAAGAGAGGATGGCAGATCTGATTAGAAAGCATGTAAAACAAAGTGTATGGACAAAGCCCTCCTTTAAGTGAGGGCTATCAACCAGTAGAACAAGTCACCTGGCATCAAGTAGAACTTGTTAATGGTTTCTATTTATTTTACTGTATTTATTTCCACTTTCTTGGAATTGCTGATGAAATATCCTATCTTGAGAACAACTTTTTTTCACTTAAAAAAATGTTTCATGAATCACAAACATAGTTCTTCGGAAGGCAGGTCAGAGGGAGAGCAGTACTCTGAGGTGCAAAAAGGCCAAACTCACTCCCAGACCCGGGTCCTTGAGGCTGCCAGCTTCCCCTCACCCCCACCCCACCCCCAGGAGGCTAGCTAAACCTGATCACAAAGAGCAAGTCTATGCTACTCTGGGCTCTGGTGAATATCCCCAGCAAAAGCCCCCTTTTGGGTAAAAGACCTCACTTGGGGAAGTTCTCAGATAGCACATGTGCTTTTACCTAGATGGAAGGCAAGTTCATTGTCCTCAGACACTCTAGCCACAGTTTCAGGTCCTTCTCCCACTGGGGGCCCTCTGCTCTGGCTATTTCCTTAGCTTAGACGGTGCTTCCCTGCCCCCAACCAGCCCACACTGATACCCAGCTGTTAGCATTGATGTTACTTCTGGGAAGTTTATCCTGGACCACGTATGTACCTTCCTTCATGTCTCATAAGAGCATTTACACTTAAATAATTCTGCTATTAAAAAAAAATTAAGACCTGAGCTGCGTGAAGGCAGGGACAGAGTCTATGCTGCTGTGCCCAAGCACCTACCCCTCTGCCTTCCTGTGCAGGTATCCAACAGACAGTTGTTGAATGAAAGAGTGGAGGACCTTCACAAAGGTACCATTTAGGCTGTGCTTTGGATGGAACTGTGCTGCCCCATTCACACGCTGAAGCCCTAATCCCCAACAGAATAGTATTTGCAGGCAGGGCCTTTGGGAGGTGATCAGGTTTAGATGAGGTCATGAGAGTGGGGTCCTCATGATAGAATTCCCTTATAAGAAACCTTGGACAGTGCTTGGGCTCTCTGTCTCCATCTCTCTGCCATGTGAGGACACAGAAGGCAGCTGTCTTCAAGCCAGGAAGGAAGCTTTCACCAGGAATTGAGTTGGCTGACACCTTATTCTTGTCTTTCCAGGCTCCAAAACTGCAAGAAATAAATTCCTGTTGTTTTAGCCACCCAGTCTACAGTATTTGTTATGACAACCTGGACTAAGACAGACTGACAGAGTGAATGCCCTCCAAGGAATACATTACAAAATAGCATTTCGAATCCACCAGCACCTGGAGACACTGCAGATACCAGGGAAGGCACTGTGTAAACACTGCTGAATATGCTCAGCAAAACACTTTCACACAGAGAAACAAAACAAAGCTAGCACACATAGTATCCATTCCATGTTTTTCAAAGCCCACAGGAGTACATGTTACGCACTGTGCAAGGACACAAAAATAAATCTATATACATGCCTTTTACAGGCAGGAGCATATGATCACTTAATATAATGATAGCAACATACACACACACACACACACACACACACACACACACACGCTCCCCACTCGAATCAAAGGTGAACAAAATCAATTCTGCTTTCTTTCTTCTCCAGAGTGAATACCATGTTTTCACACAAACCAACTCATTTGCAGTTCTTTTCTTTGGGTTGAGTCACACAAAGTTGGAAATGGCACTTTCAACCCTAGAGTTTTCATTAAAAGCTTTTAAACTAATATCTGCTCTTGGTGGCAATTCTCATCCCAGATGGAAACACGTAATGAGCACTCACAATTCTTGATATGATTGCAAATCACATTACAAGACCATAAGAGTAATGGAGTTTCATCCTTCAGCAGGTAAGAGTCAGAAGTGCATTTGCTCTGGAAGATGATACTAATTTTCTCAGAGGAAAGCCAGCTCCCAAGATTTTCATCCTATTATGCAGTGAAAGCAAAGTAGGATTCAGATGGCACTTTCTCAAAATCAAAGATTTTGTCAGAAGAAATACAAGAGCCAAATGCCACGACATCTATGCAAAGCCATCTCCAAGGAACCTCTCTGCCCTTCCTTGACATCAGGACCGGGTGTGGTGGAGTTGGAAGGAAGATCATGGCAGTGTATGATGAGATGCCTGTTAGTTTGGAAAGGCACCAATGTTTCTGATTTCCCCTATTATTTTCCTCATAATGATTTCATAAGAACAAGCTCATGCTAAGAAATTCCTGAAAGACTTCCTTCAGGTAAGGATATATTTTAAGATCAATCAATGCTTAATTCTTTGCACAGATGAAAACCATGACAGAATCAGAGTATTCTAGTCATCTCTGGAAAGAATACTGGGCTATATATTTGTCCCAGACAGATCTTCTTCTGCTTGTTTAGATTGCTGTAAAGTTAACTTGAGTGGACCAATGATCCTGGGAGCAGTATAGAAGTGGTGGGGGGACACTAAGCCCAGAAACTAACCTGGGATAGAAAGCTTGCTGCAGTGACAAAGCAGATGTAATATACAGAATGGAAAGTGTGTGGTATTTATTGAGTGGGCATACATAATGCCATCTCTCTAAAGAAATACAGGGAAAAGCAGCAGGAGAGGAAAGCTCAGCAAGAATTAGGGGAAAGATGATGGCTGTATAGTCTTCTTTGGCAGAGAAACAAATGTCACAGCCGACTGGCTAATGATTCCAGTGAGCAGATGGCTTTATCAAGTGAAGACCAAATATAAGACATACAGAACTAAAGTCTAGTCCACCGAGTGAGTTAAAATTCAATCCACCAGAGTGAGTTAAATTCCTGTCTGCTTTACTTCACCTGGCAGATGATTTCCAGGAGGACAATAATGGTCTTTTCTACATTCTCTGCTTTCCTCCTTGCAGCAACCAGCTGGCGCTTACCCCAGGCCTGCTCTCTGAGTAAACAGTTACCTTGAGTGCTATAATGGCTACTGTGATGTCTCATGTATAGCAAGCTTTATGTCAGCAAAGATAGGAAGGACATTAGACAGTATTTATTTTACAGCCTAATAATTTTCAAGGTAGTTTGAGAGAACTACTCTTGAGGAGATAAATGGGATTCCTAAATATCAATCACTAATAATGATTTTCACCCAATTTTAGTTGTTACAGAGAAACAATTGGAGAAAAAAATGTTTCATGTAGACTTCAGGTTAGACTGGAACAAACCTAAATGCCTTTTTTTTTTTATAAAGTCAGCTTGGATGGAATCAGATAGAAATCATACAATTCTAGCTTGGTGTTCTCTTAACAATTTTACCAGTAGCCATTTGTGGTCATGAAGGCAGGCAGCACTGGGCCATTTACAGGGGACTAGGCCGAGTGGAACCTCAGGGAGACTGTGGATAAAGTGAAGGTTCCTGTACACGTGTGGGCAATACATTGTTATTGACTCTATATAAAGAGCTCTGCCCAGTGCTCTGGGCTGCAGGGCTGCAGGAGAGCAGGAACTGGAGTGGTGGCAGCACTGAGGACAGAGACTGAGACGGCTGCAGGGCCAGAGAGGCCCAGAGGCAGAGACCAGCTTGCTGCATGGGGACTCGCTCTGAGTAGATGGGATTCTAGTGACTGACCTGCCACCATGGGAATAAAGTTGGGTATAAATGCTTTTCACCCCAAGAACGGTCCATTGTCATTTTTCAGTCTCATTGAATCCATAGTGAACTTGTCTGAGGCTGAAACCCACTGGCAAGACAGAGACCACTTGGGCTTCCTAGATGAGTGGCAGCAGCTTCCAAGGCACTCATCCCTGCCCCGCTGGGGGGCTGCCATTCCTGTCCAGTTCCCTAGCCCCAGTTTATTAGCTGACTCCTTCCCAATGACATTACAGTGTGGAGGGCAGGGCTTGGCACACACTTTGGGACATTTGCCAACCGCTCTTTTAGAAAATTTTACCTCTTCTTAATATTCTGGCCGAATAACAATGCACTTAGGATAATGACAAAAACATCCGCATGTATAGCACTATGGTGTTCAGGAGTTGTAGCAGATAAACTGGGGTTGTAGGCATCCTAGATTTGAATCGGGCTCTGCCACTTACTAGTCTGTGATATTAGGCAAGCCACTTGACCTCCCTAACCCACAACTTCCTCATCTACAAAGTGCAGGTAACAGTAAGAATGGGTTCACATTTCATACTTAGAACAGTGAGTGTCCGGCATTTAGTGTTATTATGCTGGGAGACTCTCTAATGTTACATTCAAACTGAAAACTTAATCCTA